ATGCTCATTCAATGAATCCTTCTGAGCTAAAGCTACTGCTTTCATGTAGACGTCGTTCTCTAGCAAATTTTGTACCCCAACTTGTCATTTTCAATACTTCTCGATACTGTTAAACATTAGATTCAATTAGAACACTAGATGCTATCGATCATTTGACGCTTTTGAATAAGCCATATTGAATTTTTCTCTTCCGCTCTGAAATGGCAATTATCTAACAAGCAAATCTCATTCGGAAAATTTTGGTATGATGATGATGCTGATGATATTTACGCGAAATGGCATAGATACTTGGTTGGAAGATAAGAATAACTGAACAGGAAATGTTTACGAGTAATTTTTTGATGTATGGAATGTGAAAGTACATCTGGAACGAATAAAGACCACGGATCGAAGCAATCGCAATTTTTCGAGCTATTTGCATTTTATTTTATTGCAACAAAACGTTTTCTTTCAGTCTTTGCAATTGAAATTCCATTAATCTCAATTATTACACGAAAGAGTTGATCAAAGTCCTCTACATATAGGGCCAAATATACTAATTGTAAGATTAACATAATAACAAAACTATAAGATTTCGTTCAGTTATCTCGACGCTATGAATTCCATCCTTATGAGCATTTGAGTTCACCAAAAATTTTCACTTCACAGATTATTCAGATTGCTTGGAAAAATAGAGATTTACAATTTCAAACCTCTTTGCCATCGTGTGTAGTTGTGGTAAACTTATGAGTGTAGCATGTGTTGAACTGTTCACAGAAGTACGGTTCAGCTTGACTCCAGTGTTTCCGTGATTTACCTTAGACGAGAATAACATTCATAATTGAGTTTCATCGGATTACTTGACTTCTTTTAGCAAGGTTTCAAGGCAACTCTTGAATTAAGTGAAGCGAGAAAGTTACCCTATAGTGCAAAACAAATATTGATTCCTATTTTCGTTCATCTCCTAAGCTGTGTATTACCTCTCGCTTCATGTCGGTGAGAAAAAAAACATCTCAAAATTCGCATATCGATACGAGTTTCAACAGTGTTCCTTCCTTACAAATAGCATGCATGTACACTTCTAGACCGAACCACATGGGAATCACAATAGAGCATATGTCAAGGAATGGGCTATCGCAACCTGAATGCTTCGTCCAATATGTCTTCGCACGACCCTTTAACTCCAAAAGTATCTCGTTCACTTTTTTCGGTTCGCTGTTCTCGATAATCACCTAAAGAGTTGCATTTAACTGCTATGAGACATTCAGAGAGATAAGAATTCGGCGTTGGCCACAAAACAAAATTCGTTCCAACTGAATGTTTCTTCTGTTGAGCGTAATCGTAGCGACGATATAAAGATCTTGCTCTAAGATGCGCAGAAAGCATTACTATTCCCAGAACAGAATGAGAATTGCTGAGCAAACAAACAGCTCTCCTCAACGCACCTGAAGTTTGATGCCTCAAAAGTCATTATTCTGAAAGATTTGTGACTTCAAGCAAGAAATTTTATCTCTTTAGAGCTAAAGTAGATAGTGGAGGAAGACACATTTCACCGCGTAGACGTGAAATAAAGCAAATTAATTGTTTACGTTATACCTTGCCAGAGATTTCTTGACCAGCAAAATATGCACTCTCAGCGTTACTGAATTCAATATCGAAACGATCCAGCTTCACCATCGCTCAGAACATGCTCAATGGAAGAAATAGTCTGAAAAGTTTCAATCCAATCTCGGTGTGTCACATAAGACGACGCTGTCTGACGATTGTACGAACCGAAAATTACGTGATCATGAACGAACATAAACTAATGCGAACAATTTTACTCATAGAAAGCAACAAAAATTAAAAGACTTGAATGAAAGGTTTGGAATTTCTCTGCTTCGAACGGATGTCCCTTGAGCAGTGGTTCTCATAGGGGATGCAATTACCTATTATGGATAATTTGGAGTTGTTAGGAGGTAATGGAAGGGGTCGGGAAATTAGTATTTCGGGCGGTTCTTATGTTATGATAGAGCACGATCGTGGTGTGTTTTTTTTTAACTCGGATATGTAAATGCG